GAAGAACATATGACTTCTTGTAGTCTGCAGAAGAACCATGAGCAGCAGAAAGAGGTTTGCAGTAGGGACAGGACAGTGGGTTGTCTCCCCTCCCTGTGCCCCTAGGTCCCCAGCCACCATCATCACACAGGTCAGAAAGAGTGGTCACAGGGCAATTAACACACTGGAACTGGGAACATGATGCTTAACAGAAGCCCAACAGAAGACCATCTCTAGAAGAAGAGACTGGGATTCAAAGATGAAAAGGAACTGCAAAAGACAACTCAAAAAAGTATCTTTTTAGTTAGAGACCTGAGAGAGACAGACAGACAGGGACATAGTAACTCCCAATCATTCCACTGGAACTGGGATTAAAGAGTCACTAGGAGGTGCTGTCTTTGAAAAGCAATCTGACTGGAGAGAAGCCAGAAAGAGCYCAGCTGTGGCTCCATGTACAGCACAACTGTCATGGTTGGCAAGTCTCTTCATGGTCAGAGCCTCCAATGTCATCTGACCTGGATTTGATCATTTAGTGCTTTCTTTTCTTGTTTGGGCATAGTCCCAGTTGTTGCTGCAAATGGAAAAGCTTAGTGGACAGTGTGGTGTAGACTCAAACCTAAGTCAATATTGAGAAATACCGTTCTCAGGGCAGCTTTACGAGCATGAGTATTCTCAGATTATAGAAAACATTACTCATCTTCATTCCGTTTTTGTTTATTTTCTGATGCACAAGTCAGCATGTTGAATTCATTGTAACTAACTTCTGCTTATATGCAGGGAAATTGGTTTGCCAAGTGTGTGTGTTTAAAAGCAAATTGTGTAAAACCAGCCAAGAGCCAAGCCACTTGGCCACATGTAGATGCTGAGAAGTATATAATTAATATAGAGTGAAGGCTTTGTATTTGAGACCTTGAAGAAAAAATATGCAATTTTAAAAAATGTTTGTGAGATGGTGGATCATTAAAACATCAAATATTTTTGAAGAAATTWAAAAAATAAAAATACAAAGGATGATATAATATATCCATATCCTTACCTAGAATTGTAACTATTAACATCTTGTTGCATATTTTTTAAGAGTTTAAATTACTATCATGCTAAGTAAATTAAGCCCATCCCCAAAAAACAAAGGTGAAATGTTCTCTCTGATATATAGATGCTAACCCAAAACAAGGTGTTTGGGGTGGAGGGGAGAATAGAAGTTCAGTGGATTTGACAAARGGGAATGAAGGGAAGGGGACAGGAATAGGAAAGATAGTAGAATGAATCAAAYATAACTTTCCTGTGTTCATACGTAAATACACTAGTGAAACTCCACATCATATATAACCCAAGAATAGGATTCTAATTAGAATAAGATGTACTCCATGTATGTATAATATGTCAAAATATAATCTGTCATGTATATCTAAAAAGAACAAAATATAAAAATATAGATTAAAAATAAAACTCTATTTGACMTATTACTTCTAGTCCCATTCTCTTCCCCAGTCTTTCTAGCAATAACTTCTATCATGAAATAAGGATCTTTCCAGTCTGTTCTGAGTACTTTTATATGTGTGTATGTACTCCTGCCTGTGTATAAATAAAGGTAGAAGTTTTATGTCTACATGCACAGGCATGCATCTGTGAGCAATATTGTTTTGTGGAGTGCTACTTTAAAATGTATCAATGTGGTATACTACATGCACAGTAAYGGTAGCAGCTAACATTTATGGACTGGTTGCCCTCTGCCTGGAGTTGCATTATCTCAGTCCTTTTAATGGTATTATATGGTAAGAACTATGTTTTTTTTTTAATTTATCAATCTATTTCTTTTTTAAAATATTTTTTTAGTTGTAGTTGGGCACAATATCTTTATTTTGTTTATTTATTTTTATGTGCTGCTGAGGATCAAACCCAGGGCCTCGCATGTGCCAGTCGAGCGCTCTACTCCTGAGCCACAACCCCAGCCCAGCACTATGGTTTTGATCCCCCTTTTATTGGTACATAGACTAGTCATCTGCATAGGGTTACATAGCTTGTAAGTGGTGGGGCTGAGAGCYAATTCCTTTGACTATCATGCAAGATGCCCTCTTCCCTATATCATTGCAGGAGTCCTCACCCTCAACATTGCATTTCTGATAGCTGTGGTCGACAAATTTGTAGGAATAGTTCATTCCTTTTTACAATTATGCTGTATRTTCCATAGAATGAATATAACATGCAAACACATTGCATGGTGGTTCAGACTATAAAATTGACATAATGACGTTTCTGTCTCACAGGATTGTCGTAAAAATTAAACGGCTTCATTCAAATAAAGCAGGTAGGACAGTACCTGGCACTGATTGAATACTCCATAAATGTTAGATACTCTTTGCTGTTATCACACATCCACCAGCCTATTGAACTAATCACTAGGTTGTTTTTAGTTTCTTCCTGTTACCTATCCTGTCCCAGTGACAGCCCTGTGTCTGTCATTTTCGGTTGGACATTTCTGTAGGAGAGGAGTTGGTGGCTCGGAGTGTGCATGCTTTCAGTTTTCCTTGACCAAAGGCACTGTGTCAGTTTACACTCCCTAGTGCGCTGTGTAGCAGTTCCAATTTCCCACAGCCTCCCTGACGGTGGATATTGTCTGACTACTAGAATTGCTGATCTGATGGGTAAGAAATAATATCACTGTCAAATTGGTGAATTTTTAAAATTTGTTTTAATTAGTTACACATGACAGTACAATGATCTTGACAACATATCATACATTTGARTCAGATGGGTATAATTTCTCATTTTTCTGAGTGTACAGGTTGTGTTTTTATCACAAMTTTATTGAGCTATACTTCCCACACCATAAAATTCACCCTCTTAAACTGTACAGTTCCATGGGTTTGGTTTTTTTTTTTTAGTATATTTACAAGAATGCACAACCATCACCACTATCTAATTTAAGAGGAAATTCTTTACCCATTAACGGTMACTTACCATTTTCCCCTACCCCTAGCCTGTGTCACTGCTAATCTACTTTCCATCTGTATGGATTTACCTATCCTAGACATTTCACATAAATGGAATCATGTAACATATTTTTTCATGACTGGCTTCTTTCACTTAGCATAATGTTTTTGAGGTCCACCTGTGTTGTAGCAGGTGGCAGTGGCAGCACTTCATTCCTGTTTGTGGCCCAGTAATATTCCRCTGTATGGATATATCACATTTGGTCTATCCATTCAGCAGTGGATGGAAACCTAAATTGTTTCTACACTTGACTATGGGTGACTAATGCTACTAAAGGAACATTTGTGTGCAAATTTCATATGGCATGTTTCTAATCTTCTTAGTTATGATTATGTACTTGGCAGTGGAATCGCTGGGTCAGATGGTTACTCTGTTTAGTATCTTGAGAAACTGCAGTCCCATCAGCAGTGTCTGAGGGTTCCAATTTCTGCAGATCTTTGTGTCCAACACCATGCTATTGTTTTAATTTTTAACTCTGGCCATCTTRGTGGGTGTGAATTGGTGTCTCMTTGTGGTTTTGATTTGTGTTTGCTTGATGATTACCAATGTTGAGCTTCTTTTCATGTGCTTGTTGACTATTTGCATATCATCTTTGAAGAAATGTCTCTTCAAATTATTTTTGCCCATTGGGAGGAGAGGGTAATTTGTCTTTGTGTTTAGTTGTAAGAGTTCTCTTAAGTGGAAATAAGCCAGACACAGAAAGACAATACTAGGCAATAGTAAATGTTCTATTTACTATTAGTCTAGATACAAGTCCCTACCAGATGTATGATTTACAATGTTTTCCATTCTATAGGTTGTCTTTTCACAAAATTGATGTGAACTGGTGAATTCTGATGTTTGTAGTTCTCAGTGTTTCCTCAAAATTTCAATCTTCAAAATTGCCTCCATATTCTCTGCTGAGCATGTAACAAACCTGAGGCAATGAAGCAAACACTGCCACGCATCAGAAATGACAACATTGTTCACAAACACAGATGTCCCCTGTTCGTTGTGGTGAGCCTCTCAGTCCAGGAAGATTTAGTTGTGACAAAGCAGAGAAGAAGCCTTTTCACCTAATTACAGCTTGAATTTCATAATGAAAAGCTTTGAAAATGCATTTCTATACAGTCTAACAATATTTTGGTCAATAATAGACCACATATCCCATAAAATYATAATGGAGCTGAAAATTTACTATTGCCTAGTATTTTTGCTGGGCCTTATCTCTTTTATTATAATTATTAATGWGTTAATTGTACAAATTGATGGGTTTCACCRTGACATTTGCATACATGCATMTRTCATGCCCACATTTATTCTACCCTGTCTTTTTCTTCYTCCCYTCCCCCATCCCTAATATTCCCTTTTCTACTTTCAGGTCTTTTTTTCCCTCCCTCCAATTTCTACATATGAGAGARAATTACAATACTYRTCTTCCTGTGTCTGGCTTATTTTACTTAACATGATGTCCTCCAGCTCCATCCTTTTTTTCTGCAAATGACATGATTTTATTCTTCTTTATGTCTGAATAATACTCCTCTATGTATGTATACCATACTTTCTTTATCAATCTGTCAATGGGCACCTAGTCTGATTCCATATCTTGGCTCTTGTGAATAGTCTTGCAGTGAACATGGGCATGCAGGTATCTGTTTTATATGCCGACATCATCTTTTTCAGATAAATCCTCAGGAGTGATATAGTTGACTCATATGGTAGTTCTATTTTAGTTTTTGGAGGAACCTCCATACTGTTTCCCATGATGTCTGTACTAATTCACATCCTCTTGTTGCCTCTCAGCCTGGAAATGAAATGGGTTTCATTGTCTAGATGCTGGGAAGACACTCTGTGAGGAGGGTTGTAGTAGAAAAATCACCTCACCGTGCATCTCTCAGCACATGTCCCCATTGTCAAATGACACATGACTGTGTTTTCAAAACACTGGTTGTTTCATTCAGATTCCTTTAAAATTCTGTTTAACCTGACCTCTTCCTTTTTTCTTTTGTTTCCTCATCTCCCTTCCCTGCTCCCCATTTCTGTTTCAGATTGAAAATGGCTCAAGCATCAGTCAGCAAGTTGACATCAGAGAAGAAAGTGGAGACAAAGAAAATCAATCCCACTGCCAGTCTGGTGAGACTCTGTTTTCAACATAACCTCCCGATTTTTTGCTGTAACTGAGGAGCACCCAGGAGTGTGTCTGAATTTAAAGGCTAAAACTCAAGGATGAAACATAGTATCTGGATCCTCAGTTCCCATCCCAGAATAGCATATGGTAAAAATGAATATGTGGGGGTGAGGGAACAAAATGTGGCTTCCTTTTCCCCCTGCAAACTCAACAAGGTCATTTCTGATAAACCAGATTTCATCACTTGCCATTTCACAGCCTTCCTCACTCTACCCACACAATCCCCATTATCTCAAAAGTACTTTTCTCCTGAAATTTTCAAGCATATTCACCCTCATCAATTGCTTTCCCCCATTAAAGAAAGGGGCAGGATATTCCATATTGATGGTTGAGGAAGCTGAGAATGCGGGAAGGTATATCCTCCCTGCTGTCACTGGTAAATGGATAGCAAAACCCAGCACCCCAAATGGGTGCCCTGATATCTCCATGTCGGAAATCAGTCATCTACTTGGGCTTTCTACATTTGATAGAAAGTTGTCCCCAAAGTCCAATTTTTAGTAGGGATCACACTGAATTGCTACCTAAACATCTCAAAAAATACTCAGAACAAAGGTTAGGAATCCAGGATATTGGCAGGGAGACTGCCTGCACTCACAACCCAGTTCTACAGCTTAACAGTTGTAAAACCTTAGTAAAATGACTTTGCTTCTTTCTTCAGTGAAAGGAGAGAAATGATAAATTCAGTTTAGGATTATTTTGCATAAACTGGGAAAAGACAGGTTGTCTATAATAGGAACTTGATAAATGTTAGCTATTTCTCTTGTTACTGTGAATTCCAGCACCTTTGGTGGATCCTGCAGTAGGGAACAGGAGTGGTAAGTGAGAGTATCACTCTCCTCACTTTGAATTTTAAGCCCTGCATTTTCTGAGGCCTGATATCTCACTTATTTTGTCCTTTCATATAGCAAGTACTATTTGCCAGCTTCTTTAAATCCTTTGAAAGATCCCTGTGGTGTCAGAGTTATAAAATGGGATAATTTGTTTATTGACCATGGTACCTCTTGTAACAACCCCATCCAGCATCTAAATGAATGTTTCATGAAATGGATGAGAAATGGAGAAGTCAGGTAGAGCCGGGTTTAGTGCCATAGTCCCTTTCTGAATAGACACACCACACCCCACAGGGTACAGACCCATTTCATGAGGCATTTATTATACTTATCTGTGTGATTTTCAGAGGCAGTGAGCTCAACTTTGATTTTTGTCTTTCTCTTTCATCAGCCTCTGACCCTTTTTTGGGGCCTCAATTCTGACTTTTATAGCCAAATTTGTTCCCCAGGGTTGGAGAGAATGGAGTCAGCCCTGTAGACAAAGGGGAAGTTGAGTTTACAGTGGCACCTTTTGTAAGTTGACCTTCTTTATGAGCAAGCTCCCAACTGTGATCCTCAGCTTGTTAGAGTTGTTATGTTGTTCTCCTGTTTGTTTGTGAGGGTGGTTGGAAATTAGGGAAGAGCTTATAAAGTGATCCCTGATCAGTTTCACAAGCAAGGGTGGAGGTCCAGACTCAGGATGCGACATGAAAAACTACATCAACTTCAGTTTGTATCCAGCCCAATGTAGTCATGCACTGTAACATCCCAGATCACAGGCACCTGAGGGTCACTTCCCAAAGGGCTCCTCTTGCTCTTTTGGAAGGAATGCTCTTTCCCCTTTTCCTTCCCAGCTTATTTCCACTCCCTACGTTTAATTTTATTTACTTCCATAGAATTATAGAAGCAGCAAGGGTCCGCATTTCTGTTGTGTTCCTTCCTGTATGTTGTGCATTTTCCCATAGGTCTTTCATGCCCTCCCCCTCCTTTTTTATTTATTTTTGTTTCTATTAGTTCAATTTATTTTATTGGTACATTATAATTATATATAATATTGGGATTCATTGTGACATATTCATGTATGCACACAACATAATTTGGTTGATTTTATTCTCCAGTTCATTTTAATCATCCTCCCTGTCCCCTCCTGCCTTTCCTGATCCCTTCCCTAACTGTCCCCCTTCTATCTTCATGGGTCCCATCCCTGCCCCTCTTTTCCTCCTTTCCCCATTGTCTTCCCTCTCTAGCTTCCAAATATGAGAGATAAATCAATCTTTGACTTTCTGAGTTTGCCTTATTTAAGGCTCTTAAGTTCCATCCATTTTATATCAAATGACACTATTTCATTCTTCTTTATGACTTAGTAGAATTCTACTGTGCMTGTATACCACATTTTCTCTATCCAGTCATCCGTTGACAAACACCTAAGCCAGTTCCATTCTTGGCTATTGTGTATTGTGCTGCTGTAAACATGGCTGTGAATATATCACTATAGTACAATGATGTTAAATCTTCTGGATAAATACAAGATGTGGTACAGCTAAGTCATATGGTGATTCCACGCCTAGTATCTCCATACTGATTTCCACAGTAGTCATATTGATTTACAATCTCATCAATAGTGCCTGACCATCACTTTTAGAAGACCATTCTGGGGAAGAAGTGCAGGGAAAACAGAGCAGAACATCCACAGCAAACTGGAACCTTCTGCCATTCTGCTAAACAGAGCCTGGTGGTCCTCTGTTTGGATGGCATCTGTTCAGTTCTACAAGTTGCTCAGTTGTAGATACTTCCAACTTGGAAACAGTTATTATTATTATTATTATTATTATTATTATTATTATTATTATATCTCAAACCCCCACAAATTTATTTCTTGAGCATTCCCTAATGCCAACAGTGGGCCCAGAACAAGGTGGGAGTAGTTGAGTAACACCAGAGTTAAGGTGTTTGTCACAAAAGAGAATAGAATAGCCTAGACTAGCCTGGCCTGGTAAAGACAGTGTTCTGTTGGATGGAGTTGATTGATGGGCTGATTGTACACTTTGTTTTTTTTTTGGTATGTTTTGAGGGTAGTAATGGTGATAGATTGTTAGGAGCAGGTAACTGAGGGATTTGATAGAGACCTCTCTTTCCCAGGGCATCTGATACAATTTCTCTCAGCATTCTAGACCAGAATTTGAGAAATTTATAAAAATTTTTTAAAACTTTGATAAAAATGATAATAAATCTGTTTTTTTTCCTTAAACAACAGAAAGAAAGACTGCGTCAGAAGGAAGCCAGTGTGACCACCAACTAAGATGGAGACACAAGAAAATAAGGATGGGGAGCTGTGGATCCCTGCAGCGCTGCAGGAAGCTCTTGAAAGATTTGTTACTAAATGTCTGTCTTACTCAGTCCTTTCTGAGGTGTCTGCAGGGAGCACCCTGTGCCTTCTTTAAAGTCCCTTATTAGGCCACAGGAGCAATGAAAGCTATTTAAGGAAACACTGCAAGAGTACTGGATAATTATTTCTTATAGAAGTTCAAAGTCCACTCCATTATAAGACCAGAAGAAATACCAAGATTTTCCAAATTTTTTTAAAAGCTGAAATTTCACACTTTTTTTCCCAAACTTGATCTTTACAATCTGGTCACAGAAGAAGAGGATCTCTCATGATAGTTGCCTTAAGGACAGTTCAAGCCTTGGTTTTTACATGTTGCTGTTTTGATATTTAGTTTATTGGTCTTAATTTTGATCATGTTGCAGCAAGATCCTATGGTATCTTTCTTGCCAACAATGTGGAAGCTCACCAAAATTGTTCATGAAAACAGTTCCCCACACTAGGGAAATGATGATGCTGTCGTTGTTCATGCAATGGAAGGGAGACAAAATGGCATCGTGTGTGGGCAGAGAAGGGGCATAAGTGGCCATAAAATTCATTCAGAGAATGTTATGATACTGGGAGTTGATCTCGGCCATTAAGCAAGGCCCATTGTTTTATTTTTATATCAGTTCATTGTGGGTTCCTGAACCAGCAGAGATTCTGCACCCCCACCTCCGGTAGAAACAGTAACACCTGAGCAGGGACAGCCTTGGCAAAGTCAGTGCATCTGTTTGAACAAGCAACCCAGGGGCATAACACCCTGCATGTTTCAGATCCATTGTGAATGGGTGATGGATGCCATCATTGACATGTACCCAAGTTCCACATCATGTCCTGGGACTTGTGGCTGGACCTCTCCCACCACCCCCAGGAGATGGTTTTCAGACAAGAGGGTAAATGCCACTGGTGCCTTTTTTTATCATGGCCTTGGCTGACAGGCATGTGAAGTAGGGTTAGCCRGGGGTATTGGCTGGCACAACACTTAAGTTCTTTACAGAAAAAATGAAAAGAAGGTAAATATATCAATATTAAACTTTGAGTAGAATATCAGGCCTAGGTAGCTCTTTCTGACCCTGGCTCTTGATTCACAGAGGAAAACCACTTTGGAAATCTACCTGATATTTTCCCTCTCAAGCCATTATTCTTTGAATCTGTCCTATGAGGGGATAAGAAGAAAGACTGGAGTCAGCTTTCTCCTCCAGTGGTGGGGACAGTCTAGAGGTGAACAGGAATCTTATGTCCCATCCAGATCCACTGCCATCTATGTCCTKCCCCTTGCCCTAGCATCCTTCTAGAACCTCCGAACTTGCCAGGTGCCCAAGTGTCTTCCCAGGATATGCCTGCCAATCATCAGCCCCTGAACTCAGGGACATTCCTGTAATAGATTGAGCTAATGAAAGCAGCACCATACCTGTATACAGTGCAAACCTCAGAATCAAGACTACACAAGTGAGATCAATGAAGTCACAGGCACTAACCAGATTTTCTGATGGTCACATGCTTGGATTTTTTTAAATTCAAAATGAAGGAATAAAACCGAATGGATAAACAGATAAGGAAATTACTGGACTAGAAAGACCTGAAGTTGCTTGTGAGCAAGAAGTTTTCCCTRTTGCTTTCCTATTGTTTCTCCTGGTTTTCACATAACTGTGAAGAAAATGAAGGAAATTCATCAACTTAAGGCAAATTTCACTTACAGCCATACTGTACTCCATGACATTCTTTCTATTATGATGGTGCAGAAAAAAAAATGCCAGTTTTGTCCATGCCACACAAATTATCTCTGCATTCAGCAAGGTCAGCATAAGTCCAGATCCTTATGGATGTGATGGGAGGAGCACAGGAGGCTTTTGGCAAAGCCACTGCTATGCACCTCAGATCTCTAAGTAGAATGCCCATGAGAACGTGACACTGTTCCTGTGTCCTTCAAGGACTCCCTCTCAGGGAAACCATGATGAAGAATTAGGAGCGGAAACATTAGTTTGAGAGTTAGACAAATGCAGCCCAACTTGGTGATTGAGCTAATGAAAACAGCACCATACCTGTACACATGCAAACTGCTGCAAAGTTCCTGTTTCTAAAGGTCTGCCTGCCTCAGTGGGGGAAGCTTAATGGGTTTGTAACACTAAAATGTATTTCATGAGCATTTTAAAGCACATGGCAGAATATCCACTATTCTCTTCCAGTTTGAATCCTCTGTTATCTAATCTGAAATGCCACCTCCTAAATCTACCACTGCAGACATTGTCTTCATTTCTACTTTAAGTTCATGCTCAGTGAAGGTAACAGTTTGCTTCAGGCAGTGCACCTGTAACAATCCGAAGGGCTTTAAAAAGGTCCCTCTGAAATGCAGTTGAGCTTGTGTTAAATGCAGCAGGTATGTTTAAACTTTTCACAGAGAGGACATGTTTGCAATACTAGTTGGCAGCTGGAACACTTTAGAAAAGCAGGGTTTAATGGGCTTCTCTAGGCACAGCTCTCCATGAACTAGACAGGAGAAAGACCAGCATTGCTGCATTTAACCACACTTACCCCTAACTCACTAGCAAAATGCTAAGGAACCTTCCCTGATAAACCAGCTTTGTCTCTTCTCAGTCAAGATTCATTAGCTCAGAGGACACAGTTTGGCAACAGTTTAAATTCTTGCATATGCCACTGGCAATAATTATAGAGCACACAGGTAGACAAGCTATTGTACTAAAATATAAACACATTAGGGAAAAGACAGCATCAGGCCTCTGCAATGTCCAATATTAGGTTAGGAAGTGTGCCATATGTTTTTTAACCTGAGAAGAGGCAGCTTACAAGAAAAAAAGAGGGCAAGTGTGGCCTAGCAGAAGGGTAGACATATGATGATGTGGAGGCCCTGGGGGTCACAGGTGATGATTCTGCTGTGCATCCTTGGATTGACGTCAATGAGATCTTTTCACAAGCTCGTGGCATCTACCTAGGAATTATGGAAAAAGAACATCTAAAGTCTGAGAAGTAAATAAGGAAACCCAATGGTGCTACTATACCTTTAAATGTTCTAGCTGAAACAAAATGCCAACATAGTTGAAAAATTGAATATTAGATTGGATACTGGGCAGGGGAGAGGTTTTTAAAACCCCTCCCAGGAAGGAGAATTGAAGCTGCAAACCTGCTGAGCTTCCTTTTTTTCATGAGTACCCTAAGGAAAGGTGTCTCCTAAATGAGAAGCTCATGCTACTGGTGAAGAAACTGGAAAAAGAGAGAGAGAGAGAGAGAGAGAGAGAGAAATAAATAACCCTCCAGCAAGATAAAGAAGTAATTGGTATAGTTTTTCTAAAGTCTATAGTTAGATCTAGTAGAAGAGATAGAAATGTATTTTCAATAATGATTTGCCTATTGTCCTGATTGTAGGCTGTGCTGCCTACAACAGGGACGTTTTTGTTTTAATGATATTTTTGATTCCTTTACAGTTTTGTGTTCTCAATGCTAGCTCTACTTCYCCCCTTCAGGCACCACTGATGCAGGTCATTGCAGGCAGCAGCACAGCAGATTACACCAGTCAGTGTGAATTAGCACTGCAGACCTGCAGATTCTCCTTTCCAGCAACCAGATTGGAGCCTTGGTGGGGGAATTTCTTCATTTTCTGGCATCCAAAGTCAGAATATTTTGTAGTACTCATCCCCCCCCAAAAAAAAGCAAATAAAACCAATCTGGGGCATTATATGGTGAGGAAAAATGAAGTCCACAAAATAGAGCCTACCCTAAATATCTGATCTAAATATCAACTATGTCATTTTGTCAATTAATTTAAATTGGATTGAAAAGTTGCTGGCAAAAAGAATGTTTGACTTGAGCTTCATTTTCTTTGATCCTGTATATTGTAATTAGAAACCAAAAAAGTGGATAAAATTTGTGGATAGGAAAGAGAAGCTATAGTGGCTATGGCATGAACTGCCTGCTGCCCACATGAGACAATTTTAAGAAATCAGACAGTTTTAAGAAATATGGATTTGAAATAACCAAAGATTGTCCTGGAAATTTTTTTTAAAACACATAAAAGAAGACATGATGTAATAGTTGGGATGTGGGGATATTAGACCATTAAAATGTCCTCCCTCTGGTTCTCTTAGGAGCCRTTTAGGAACGTGTGGAACACCCAAAGACCATGAATACCACATTTCACAGATCAGCCATTTTATCTTTGGGGATCCTATAACTGAATAGAGTGGATTAGATAAAAATACAGATTTTTCATTCATGTCAGCYACTTTTTCTTTTCTTACAGCACAGGGGAGCCAAGTCTATGTGGCCAAGCTGATAGGATTTGAAAAGAATGGATAATTTTTAGCCTTTCCAAGACGCAAATAACTTTTGTTATATGGATTTCCATTTTCCAGCTATAGAGAGAGCAACTTAGCTACTTAGCAGCTATTACTGGTACAGAATTGRCTTAAAGAAAAGCATCTTTTCTTTAAGAAAAAAGATCTCCTTTAAGAAAAAGGCTCAGCAGATCTTCTCTTGACACTTACAGAACAGTATTCCTAATGCCAGTAGCAATTGAATCCAGACATAAATGGACTTGATTACACAGCTGTGTGTGACTGAGAGGCCCACTCTCTGTCATTTCTACATGCTCATCATGTTGACACCTTGTAAGAGGCACTGAATTTTAGTTTCACAATTCTTCATTTCTCTTCCCAAGGAGTGGGCAACCTACCAAATACTCCCAAATCAACACTTTGCTGGGAAGTAGTGAATTTCAGAGAGTTTTAACATGTTAAAGTTGAAGCCAATTTAGTAGCCCCATTTGTTCCAAGACTCTTAACCAATAATGTGATATAAACACATTATATTGCATTTGGGAAATCTGTGTGGTTAACAACTTGCTTGGAAACGTGAAGTTATTAAAATGGCAGGTAGCTAACTGTGTCAACAAAGAGATTAAGGAAGCAAATCAAGCCTCA